TGATCTCCACCAATCTTAAGGGTGTGCATTATATTTTATCATGTTTACTTATATGACCCTGTCACTAATAAGATCTCATTAATAATTGTGACCATGAAAGGCAAAACGGACACTAATGGAAATCTGTTTGAATGGCAAAAACGCATGGATGACGAATGGTTAACGAATTTACTCCTTACTGGTCTGCAATACAATTCTCATGATATCAGTTCTAAGAATTTGTTATTGGATCAACTAATAATCCCCCAACTAATAATTATCTTGATTCTTATCTCTTGTTTGCTCGATATTGTAAGGAGAAATTCTGTCTTGGTCTGACTCAACAGTGATCTGAATAATGCACTTTCCTAGGATGAGATTGAAAGCAAAGCAGCTGTGATGTTTGACTATATGGATCTAATATCAGATACAGGTAAATTGTGTCATGGATAGAATTAAATGCAGAGTTACAAAATTTTTAAATGTTTTAAAATCTATAGAGAACATACAACTTTGGTGATCAAAGCCCATATTTAATCGAATAAGCCCCCAGCTCTACATGTCAAATGAGCCCCAACCTCTCAAACAGGTGTCCTCTTCAAATTAGTACACCGCTCCTCTCTCACAAAAACATGTTTTATTCCCACTTTATCCATACCTTTTTAAGCTTCAACTTCAGCAGAATAGGAGTGTAGGAGAATGATGAGCCCCCCTTCCCATCCTTGATAAGGTGCCCTCCTTCTTTTTAAGTGTTCCTTGTTTTGGGCAAAAATTTGAAATAAGCTCCTACACTGTAGGTGATTATTCAAGGAAATACAAGATACATTGGGACAGAAATTCTCAATGAAGTAGCTAAAAGAAAAAAAAAAGAATTTGCATGAAGTTGGTGTCTTCCTTTTTATTGTTCTCACTTAGAAATAAATATTTTCAGATTGTCTCTTTGAGTTGAATTCTAAATGTTCTTTGTTTTCTAAAAACAAAAATATCATTCTTAAATTGAAAATTAACTGTATCATGCTAGTCATTGTTTGGTTTACACTTTTGCAACTTTCTGTTCAAACATTACTCCAGAGCTTGCTGAGAGTTTTCCATCTTTCGCTGGAGATTTACGAGATCAGCCTACAGAAGTTCTTCATAGCATTAGCTTGGCAGTTTCTCAGGTATGCTCTTTTATGAATGTAGTGCAGAACTGTGATGGTCTGATTTTTTGAATTTATGAAAATATATACATAATTTATATTATGTAATAATTGTTTGGTGCATCGGAGGTAAATAGAGGGCAATATTTACTTCAAGCTATAAAGCAGTGAGGTAAATATCCATCACTTTCACTGACACTGACTGAGATGAATAACTGTTTTTAGTATATACCACACAGAAACCAATAAATTAGGTTGTTTCTTTCAATATCATGGGGAAAAATGGTTGGAAATTGAACTAGTGGTGCATGATTTTGTGTGATTGGCTGCTTGGAGGTGACTAGTACTTCCTATTCACTTCAAAACTAGCCAGCGTGCACGAATAGTACATTTCACTTGTTTTGTATATATGTACTAATAATTATCATGATTACAATATTTACTTTATTTAAAGTATATGTTGCAATTTCCAGTAATTTCTAATAGTGCCTTAAAATTTTATAGCATACTAATTCAATTAAACCATTGATGAAATTTATAAACTATGAAAACAAATTATTTTTCATACATTTTAATGTACAAAGATGGTAGAATGTCTTAATGTAGTAAAATCTTTAATTCTTATAAATGCTCTCCTAAAAGGATGAGTCTCGACTTTTTTTAAAAAAAATGTTATGATCATGTTGCTAGGTTGATAATTACAGAAATACTTTGACATGTAGATGTGATTTATGAGTGACTCCAAAGATTTTCTTCCCTTTTTTGTTAATTTTTTTTAAATTCAAGGTTTTGTTGACTGTGGAGACAGCTGAGAGCCCCCATGGAGCACCATTGTTTGATTTGCCATATATACAAGCAAGGTATGTGAATTTGTAGGCTTTGCAAACATTCCAGATTGTACCAGACATGAGAAAATAATGTTAGGGAGGCTTGCTTATTACTTTAGCATTTGTGTATAGTGATGGAATTTAAAATTCTCCTTAAATGGTATTCCTTTAATACATTGCTTGCTTGGTTACCTGGAGAGCATAATGTTCGATGTAGAAATAAAATGAATGCACCCAATTTATATATATGTTTTTCTATTTCAAGGGTGATGTCTTTTGATATTTACTCTCCTTACAGTCTTTACTTAGCAGATTCATTTTTGTGCCTCATATGTTATATACTAGCTAAATGTCAATTGCTTTAATTTTAACCACCAGAATAACAAACTTTGAGCCTGCCATTCCACTCAAAAACCTCAAGTCTTGCTATTGGGGTATGTAAAATGTGTACATGTACCTCTTTAAAAAATTTGATCTTGATGACTTGTGAGTTTTCAGTTCTTTAACTGATTTCACCTTCTCTGTATGCTGTGGAACTTTAACTCTTTACACCCCAAGATCAGTATGCATATTCTCCTTACTGCTCTCTCTACATTTGCCAAGGTGTTGACAAGGAGAATTTGTTTAATTAATAAAGAAATGATTCTCTTATCAGTTGGTGATCATTTCTGTTATTCTCCTGACCTTTATGTGTAATTCAGGGGTGATATTGTAAGGAGAAATTTGATGCTAGTCACTCTTAGGAGTTGAAGAGTTAAGACCTCTGAACTCTCAGAAAATCATCCAAATCACACAGAGTTAAATTTTCTCAGACCTTTGAATTGTCCTTGCACTCACTTGTATGCTGTAACAACTGCAGGCAAATTTGTGGCAATCCATGGAACAGTAATAAGAGTTAGCAATGTTAAACCTCTGGTGAAAAAGATGGCATTTTCATGCAACTTGTGCAGCCAGACACAGGTATGGTGTCTATGTCTTAATTATGCAGTCATGTTATTTTGTATTCATATTTGGTATGTGAATCTGACCATTTCAGGATTAAATGCTGATTTGTGTGGGCCATTTCAAGATTTCAAGGCAACTTGAAATGAAATGAGAATGTGCGACTAAATTTTTACAAGACTCAAAATGAGAAGACAATTTATTTTCTTTAAAAAATTTTCAAGACTAAGTGATAGAAATAAAGCAATCTCATGTATGAATTTTTTCTGATGGCAACATTAATTTTTTTCATGGTCATTTCAAGGTTGTTCATCTCACCGACGGGAAGTACTCAATCCCAACTCAGGCAAGTTAATTTGATTCTTTAACATGTCTCACATTTAAAAATTACTCAGAAGGGCTATTTGAACCATAATTTCAAGAAGCTCACCTTAGTAGCAGGCAAAAACTTTAATTTGCAGTATACAGCATGCATTTTGGTGTTAAATTAAGAATTGTGAGCTCATTAATTTTGAAATTAGGATGCTCTGAAGGGCAAAGTTGATTGTTTATGCATCATTAGGATATCATTGAATCTGTTATAATAATATTATAATTATAATTTACTAATCTTTCTTTGATTATCTCCCAAATTCCCATGTGCATTATACACAACGAGGCATACTTTACTACATGTGTATTTTCCTGATAAAACATGCCAAAACCTAGATCCAAATCAAATGAATCTACTTTGAAGTGCACAGAAGTTTTTCAGTGGCTGCATGTTGTTGAGCTGTTGCTGGAAACTCACTTAATTAAAAGTTAAAGCAAGTCAGCAAAACCCTTAGAGAGTTGGTAGTCATCAGTGCACATGGAAGTAATTAATGTTTTCAGGACTATCCTCTTTTTGAATATTATTTCTTTATTAGTGTTCCTCAGTGGATTGTCGTGGCAAATCTTTCACTCCTGAGAGAAGCTCACCAATGACTGAGACAATTGACTGGCAAACTATCAAGTGAGTGGTCATTTAAATGAAAACAAAATCAACTATGGCTTATTCCAGTTTCTGTAGTGTGAATTGACTTGGAGTATATGCTTTAATTTCCTCTTGGAAGGGATCTCTATCTAATTGCAGAAGTCTCCACTCCCCTCCCCTCTAACATTACATCTTTTTTGTCAAGAGTTTGCTAGTACCAATTTAAACTCCTGGCAGGAGAGAGGTCTACACTGCAAGAGTAACATATTGGGAGAGGAGAGAGGTCTACACTGGAAGAGTGAAGTATTGTGGGAGGAGAGAGGTCTACACTGTGGGAGTGAAGTATTGTGGGCAGAGAGAGGTCTACACTGTGGGAGGGAAGTATTGTGGGAGGAGAGAGGTCTACACTGTGAGAGGAGAGAGGTCTACACTGTGAGAGTGAAGTATTGTGGCTCAGAGCTACTTGAATGACCTGTCAAAGAGTTTAACCCTTCGACATGTAGGTGACTAGGATCTTATTTTCCCTTACAATACTACCCCTGAATCAAATATTAAGGCCATGATAATAAACAATGATCACCAATTAATGAAGCTGTTGATTATTAAACAAATTCTCCTTGTCAGCACCTTCAGAAGAGTATAGAGAACAGTACAGAGAATATGCTTACTAATGTTAGAGTGTAACATAGGGTTAACTTCTGCCTTAGACAGTCTATGCAGTGCATGTTCTGTAGGCCTCTGCTTGACACACGAGATGCAGATGTGCCCATGTATAAATGTATATTCTGTACATGTACATGCACAAGATAAAAAATTATGCAAAAATATGAAGAGGACCAGACTGAATAAAATTTAATTGCACAGCTTTCAAAATCCTTGCAAGCTGTTTGGTTGAGCTGTAGTTGTGGAACTTTCTTTTACCCTGTAAGGTTGCCTACTCATTCTTCATATCAAATTCTTTAAAGAGTATATCATGAGTTTTTTTCAGTCTACAATAGTTTGAAACCATGGTGACTAAATTAAAAAGAATGGTTTTAGCAAAGATGTTGGTTTCTATGTTTGTTTTCTCTTCCCAAAGAGTTCAGGAAATCATGGATGATGATCAACGTGAATCTGGAAGAATTCCAAGAACTGTTGAGTGTGAACTGACTGCTGATCTAGGTATGAATCTATGATCTTCTTATTTGGTGTATGAAGATTTTCTTCCTCTTTTTTTAAATGTATATGAAAATTAACCCTTAAACCCCTAGGAGTCTGTTATAAGTATATAATTATTTTCTCCTGACAAAATTATCCAAATCACAAAGCTATTTCACAATAATAAAGGAAACTCATCACCAACTAAATAAGCTCTTGATTCTCAAACAAATCCTCCTCAACAGCATTTTCTGAAATGTAATTATTGAGCAATGTTGAGAATATGCATACTGATGTTAGGGTTAAAGAGTTAACCCTTTAATTCCCAAGATCACATTAGTAATTCTCCTTACCATCTGCCAAACGATTATCATTATGTTAGTTTGGAGAATTTGATATTGGATCAATTATTAATCCCATAATTGACAGTTTTCTTTATTCTCAACACTTGTCTGTATGATATTGTATAGATATAGTAAGGAGAAATTCTGTCTTGGTCACTCACAGGAGTTAAAGGGTTAATAGTATCCAAGATTTTTTCATACTAAATATATCTTCTTTTCTCTGTAACATTTATTCTTATCATCCAAACTGATGTGATACATGTACCTCTAGGTTTGTTTGCTTTTATTAGGACTTTGCTTAGCTATTAGTTACAGTAACTGCATTGAAAAGAGAAGAAGAGCAATTGAATAAACTCATTGGAATAATCAAGGAACATCTCCATGTATCTGTTCCCTGTTAAGTAATCTCCTGAATTTAGGAACTGATAAAAGTCAAACTTGGTTTCCTGTCTGACATGGATACCTGTAGTACATTTTGTCAGTTAGAGTAACATGATTTTTTTTTTCCTATGTTCTCTGTCCTCTTTTTGCTAGTGGACAGCTGTGTTCCAGGTGATATGGTTACCGTTACTGGGATTGTGAAGGCTACAGGAACAGAAGAAAGTAGGTAGTTGGATGAAAGAACTGTAGAGCAAATAGATCCAGCTGTCTTTTAATTAAACCCTTTTTTTTTTTTTTTTAATAAGCATTATCATTAAACATGGTGCCCGTGAATGAAATTTCTATGAAAATCCAAACAATTTTAAAGGAAAAGAAACAATTGCACTTCGAACAAACAATTTATGTTGGGAAAGCTCATTTTCATCAAGTCAAGCGAAGGACATACAAGGGAATTTTGTTCAATGTGCTTAATGTGCAACTGCAAAATGTTAGTCAATGAGCTCTTTGGTCTGTCGTTAATGCTGGGGTATACATTTAGAGTTGGAGAACTACAATGCACAGGAAGTTGACATATCATACCACTCAAATTTTCAAGTTGGTTATACCTTAATCTGCTGGTACCAAGCCCTTGTCAAACATACCACAATTTAACCATAATTGTTTTGTTTGTGTGGTAGATTGGGAGAAGACAGCTCTTGGTTTCAAAACAACTAGTTTATTTCATATGGCTGAAATCATGCATGTAGTTACACATAAGATCTGTTATATTTAGTTCCTAGAGGTGTGTGCCTCTCGTCAATCAAGTCACGCCTTGAATTACAGATAATTAGTTCCTATCATAACAACGATCAGTCCTTGTGTCCTCAGGAAATTGATTCACTGCTGTGCAGCATCAGTGTCCCAATTAAAGAAGACCCCTTTTACGCCTCCTTGCATCTGTTTTTTAATTACTGACAGTACATTTCTGAACTGTTTACTGGTAGATCGCAACAAGAGCAACAAAGACAAGTGCATGTTCCTACTTTACCTCCATGTCAATGCTGTGAATAATAACAAGGGAGGAACTGGGGCTACTGAACAAACCAGTGGACTGGCCATGGAATTTTCTATTAAGGTTTTTTCATTTACACTTTGTATTTGAAAAATCCTCCTTGTTTTAAAATGATTTCTATTCACATCAAAACTTTCCTTTTTTTTCTTTTTTTTCCCTCATTTGATAGGAACTGTATGCCATTCAAGAAATTCAGGCTCAGAAGAACTTGTTTCGATTAATTGTTGGGTGAGAGTATTAGAATGCATTTTTAATTGAAGTTGGTTTGTTTCTTTTACTCCCTCAAGTGTATGTATGCGTATATTTTATTTATTTTCATTACTGAGACTATTACGTAGAATTTTCAATAATTCCAAGAAAACTGTGGACTGCCTCTTGCTTATGATTAATTCTGAGTACTCTAAAACATTTTTGAGAGATTTGCAAAATTAAGTAATAAAATTACTTGGATTAAGTCTGTTAGTGATTTTGAGAAAAGTGTGTTTTTTTTTCTGTAAGGTAAAACATTTTCTACCTCATTTCCAATTGCAGCTCTTTGTGCCCTTCAATCTATGGACATGAGGTATTGTTTTCTAATTTACCAAGTTTGTAAATGTCTCAGACTGAGTAAATAAAAGGGAATTTTCTTGTAATCAATTGATATTTGATTTTGATGCCAAAAACCTCTTCATTCATCATCATTATTATTCCTTTTGTTAGATGGTGAAAGCAGGTTTGGTGTTAGGCCTGTTTGGTGGAACCCAGAGATACCTGAATGATAAGGTACAGTTTTAATTTTGTTACTCTATCTTTAACAGGGGTAAAAATGTCGATTTTTTTACCTTTGCTGATAACTTTGACAGTCAGGAATGTACTGTACTTCATCTCTGTCTCTCTGACACTGTCTCTGAAAACACGTTTTAAAGTTCCCCACCGTACCTCGCTACCTTTTTCCTTTCCAATGATCGATTCAGTGTTGATAGTCTTCTGGATTGGGGCTGGGGGAGGAGGGGGAGGCGAGATTTGCCAGCCATTAGGGTGGTAAATCGTAAAACGGTTTGGTAAGTCATCATGGTAAATAACACTTTCAAAAGAGAAATATAATCGTTTGCCGCACGATGTGGTCACCTTGGATGTGGTTCGCGACGTTTCGACTACATACTGTTTGTCTTCTTCAGATGATAATGGATTATAATACACACACGTATATTTAAAATCCTCGCCCGAAGAAGACCAGCAGTATGTATTCGAAACGTTGCGATCCACATTCAAAGTGACCACATCGTGAGACAAACAATCACATCTCTCTTTTAAATGCATTGGGTTAGTAGTATTCTATCAAAGAAAACAGGTGATGAGAAAAGGTAAAATTATCAGCTGAGGGTGTTGCCTTAATCACTAAATTCTCTTATGATTTACACGGACATGTTTGAAAGCTGGAAGGGGGAACTGTGGATCTGACCTATGGAGTTATGTAAAGGTGAAAAGTGAATTAGGAAGCATACTTTCGGATTTATGTAAATGAAGTCACATGCCTCCAGGAAAAAAAGAATGATGTATTGTTAAGATTCATCTAAACGTTGCTTACAAATTTTTTTACAGAATCGTATTCCAGTGAGAGGCAATCCACACATTTTGGTTGTTGGAGACCCAGGATTGGGGAAAAGCCAGGTGATTGGAATAGATGCTGGTTTGATTAACCTTCTTAGTCATATTTTTTACACCAATCTCTTTCCTTTAAAATTTGAGATGAGTGCATGGTATTTTTTAAAGCTTAAGGCTGGTTTTCATCAATGTTGAAGTTGGAGCCGTTCAGAGGCGCAGAGCTATAAGATCAGGGAAAATCAAAACGAATATGACTCAGTGGCTTATATCATTGTCTACGCTAATGTGACAATTAAATTGTTGGAGTCGAAGTTCAGCTTAAGACTGCGACTAAACGTAAAGTCGGTAAACGAGCACCTGTTTCAAATTCAGGGATTCAGTGGTAAGGTAAACTCATCTTTACAAGAAGGGTGTTTGAAGATCTCAAACTTGAGTCACAAGTATAAGGTTTGCATAACTTTCGAGTGTTAAAATGTAGCCATTTAGACACGCCTAAGTTCTCTATCGCCTTCATTAAATATTTCTCAAACAGACGACTAAAATCTCACAACCGTGTTTCCATACTCTCATCTAAACACACCTGTGAACCAGTGCGAGGGCCTATGGTATGTGCAGTATTTTCTGACAGAATCTGTAAAACGGGCCGAATTACTTTTGGGGCGATAACAATCAGGCACCAAGCGAAAGCATTCTATTATTTTATACTTCTCGTGTGTGTGTCTTGAGTGCAGATGCTTCAGGCAGTGTCCAATGTTGCTCCAAGAGGCGTCTATGTCTGTGGAAATGCAACGTCAACCTCAGGACTCACGGTAACAATTTGGTTTGTGTTTTTTCTCCATAATTTTCAATTTACGTTCTCTTGGCAGAACTGGATTATGAAAAAACCTTTGTAGTTGTAATAGAAAGGTTCATATCCTGATTCAGACGCTCGAAGCGGCGAAAATCAAACGGGAGGGAAGGACAATTTGAAGTAAACACCTTTTATACTCTATTTGCCACGTTGTTTTTTAGGTTACACTGTCTAAGGAAGGCTCCTCTGGAGATTATTCTTTAGAGGCTGGAGCACTTGTGTTAGGAGACCAAGGTACGTTTTATGCATTGTTTATTTACTTTTTTCGTTATTTAATTGATTTCAGAAGAAAAAAAAAATCGATTCTCGCAAATATATCTAGACTGGAAAAATACTTTGGACAAGAGTTGAAAGAATCTTACCCAAAGTAAATTGCTACACCTCCACCACGCCAACTATTGGTGTCGATTTTCTTTTCAAATCCTTTTTTCTTTCCTTTTTTGTTTGCTTTACCCAGTGAACTGAGCCCATGAAACGAGGCGGAAGGCGATGGGGAAAGGAAATATTAGTTATAATGATGGCCTAATCAAATTCAGTTCTTGTTTCCCTTGTAATACACTGGTTTAGGTTGCTGCTGTATTGATGAATTCGACAAAATGGGGAGCCAACATCAAGCTCTGCTTGAAGCAATGGTGAGGTTTGAATATTCGCATTAAACTTATCTTCATCCACAGTCAGAATAAATCTAGCAGTGTCCTATCGTAAATCCTGTATCTATACCATGATAGATGGTAAGTAAAGAGGGTGACTAGGCAGTATGCGGTTGTATAAACAAATTAAACGCAAGACATGATCCTGCTAAGCAGGTAATTTAGTGTTAACAACTGGGTTGAAAACGTAAATTAGCCACCGTAAAGGGTAAAAAAGCTGACGTTTCGAGCGTTAGCCCTTCGCTCTGACGAAAATTACTTGCTATACTCTCCCACCGACGCAGCACCACAGTTTCTTTAGAAACTTACCCCTTTATTCATGATCCTGCTAAGTTTTGAACGACGAGTAGATATATACCAAACAATTACTAGATTATTCACTCTCGATTTCAAGGCGTAATATTTCTTTCGGGCTTCGCCCTGATTGATCATTGCGCGATAGCAATCTCGAACTCATAATTGAATTGTTTAGTGTACACGAGGCTTCTGTGAGAATCATCTTTTCCCCTTGATGATGTGCTCAGAATGAAAGGCTCCAAATGTGAAAAGAACAAGATTACTAGTTCATGTGTGTCTTGAGGATCTTTTCATCTTGTCTTTTTAGGAACAGCAAAGTATAAGTATCGCAAAAGCCGGCGTTGTTTGCAGGTCAGTAAAGGTGTATTTTATTTCATATCGTGTCCTCTTCTTTTTTTCCTTTAAGAAAAGTATAATGATAGAAATTATTACAAGGACAAAGAACGAGAGAAAAAAAAAAACAGAACGGGCAAAATGACCAGTTAGTAGGAGACCAATCTGTTGAATATTTACAGTACTCAGCAAAGGAGTTAAACTCGGAGAAAGTGGTAACGAATCTGGTGGGTAGCAAGTAAGATGGCTTGCGCCGGGGACCATTAGATTACAACTCCACTGTACGAACAATTCTGCCACGCTACCTTCTCTGAAAAACCGGCCGAACCGGTTTCGTATCAGTGTGTTCTTTCTAAAATTTTGCGCGTTTTCTTGACGTTATTTGGTCAAATGGAATCTTTCGTGGTTTGACAAAAGTCAACGATAAATCGGTTACCCAGACGACATCGTTGTCTTTCCATGTGAAGATATGAATAGCAAGTTTACTGCGCGCAGAGACAATATCATGTTCGAAACAGGAAAAATTCTGCTATTTCGTCAGTATCTGGGTAGAAAATGATTTTCCGTACTGATTTCAGCCTACCGGCGAGAACATCAATCCTTGCGGCCGCCAACCCTGTGGGTGGTCACTACAACAAAGCAAAGACTGTGTCCGAGAATCTCAAGTAAGTCAGCTGACTTTTACATTTAATTTAGGTAGTGCTGACAAAACTGAGTATTCATACGATCCTTAAAATGTTTTATTATCTTTTTTTTTCTTAGGATGGGTAGTGCTTTGTTGTCACGCTTCGACCTGGTTAGTTCAGAAAATCTGTCATAACTGACTTCGCTCCACTTTGGGGCGAACGCATTGAAGTCATTGTGAACATGTGTTCGACACACAGCAACCGAATTCAGATAGAGACAAATTTTTGTTGTATTTTCAGGTTTTCATTTTGTTGGACAAGCCAGACGAGGTTAGTTGATTTCCTGAGAACCGTTCCACATTTTTTCTTTCTAATGTCCTAAGTCACGATGCGAGCTCAGTCTTATGTGTAACAGTATTCCGAGCTGATATTTTGTACCAACATTTTGTTATCGGTTTAAGATTCTCACCTCTTGGATGATGTTGGTCTACACTAACAAAGCGTAATTTTCTTCGTCTCTAAGGCACGCCACCAGATATCGTAATTGTAGCTTCCTTACAATATCAATACATTGTTAAGCAAAAAGGTAATGAAGATAAAGAAAATAACAGTTAGCGGATTAGTAGTTGATACAATACCAAATTTTCCGAACTAACGTCAAGGTTTGTATAGCAGACAGGTAGGAGAATTTCTGATGAATGAAAGGGTTGGCTGTGGATGATCACTTACGCCATAAAAGTTAGCTGAGTGCTGCTCATTTTTCAACAGGAAATGGATTGTATGTTGTCCGAACATGTTATGGCCTTGCATGCTGGGAAAAAGAGGTAAATCATTAAACTTTTTTGTAATTATTTCATGCTGATGATCTCAAGGATGTTTGACTGAGAAAACTGCCTAACTACTGTTTTGAGGTTTAAGAGTGAGAAAGGACGATTTTTCTTGCACCTTCTGTTACGAGATGTAGATTGATTATCAAATGGGCAAGCCCCAAAAGAATGCCAAATTCATTTCCTAGTAAAAATTCAATCGTCAACAGTAAGGAAACTTTGATGTAAAGATGTGGCGATCATCTAAATTACTTGGAGTTCGTTCATGGACTTGTCTTTTCAATCCCCTATTGGTACCGGATCCGGTCGAGATTTGAACTCGACATCTCCCGTTCTACAGTCTGCTGCCCAAGCAGATTTTAGGATAGAAATGTCTGTAATAATGCTACATGATTCTTTATCTTTGTAGTGCATTTGGGGTGGTGACAGCAAGACGGCGTTCAAGAGAGGTACAGAGATTCTTCATCCAAGGTTAAAATACCCTAGCTTGCGAGCACGCCCTCGTTATTAGCGCTGCAGGACGAGAGGATTGGAGACGAGTCGTGGAGGCCTGGGTTTACCGGTGGTCTGGCACCATTAATGAATGCAAGACCATTTGCCCACCCCTTGCCGGCTCACGTAGCTCAAAGCCTCAAACTTATTCGCGGGCGAAGAAACGCTCGCTCTAAAGTGCAAATAGCTTAATGACGCAGTAAATTACCCATTACGCATAACTGAGATGACAAGGAAAGTTTCTTCGAGCTTGTTAAGAATATTCGACGAATTTCGTTTTATCACTGGCGGGTTTCAACTTTAAAAAAGAACCTGGGCTTTGTATTTTATTACAGCCATCGTTGAATGATCGAGACTGGGAATTGTTTCTTGCACATGACATTCATACCATGAACAATGTTGCTGTATGAGTTTGAGTGATTAAAATCCTGATCAAAAGTTTATAGGGGGTTCCGCAGCAGGGAAAGAAATTATATTGTGCATCTTCAAGATTCGAGGATATGGTGAAAACAAACTTTGCTAAGGCGTCAGTCCCATTCCTTTGTAAATACAGAAAGAAAGACTTCACAGCAACGTAACGACCTTTCTAAGCTGTTCGATTGAGTAAGGCGATACTAGACAGAGCAGCACATAACATTAACGACGATTAAAACATTAACAGCCAAAAATAACAAAAACATGCTTCGGAAGATATACCCATTTCATGATCTTAGAAGGAGGACAAAATGATTTTCAGAGCAGTTTGTGCCTTAGGGAAATGAAAATTACTTATTATACTTTTGACCCCTAGTTTTACTTTATTTGCTCAGGCTAAGAATGAATGACTCTATTTTATCGGATACTTACTACCATCAAGTTGCCCATTTATAGCTGTTTATTATTTTCGGATGGCCACAGGACAGTAGCAGTGATGAGGACGAGATGAGGAGACAATGGGAAGCTGATAAACCCCTCTCTGAGCGTTTAAAGGTAAATTTAGGGCATTGCCAGGTTTTTAAGTTAACCTGGCGGGTGGATGTTGCTTCTCTTATATTTGACGCGGATAAAGGATGAATAACATTTGGCTTTTTTTTGCCAGATTGCTCGAAATGAAGAGTTTGATGCCATTCCCAGCCAACTACTTCGAAAAGTTAGTATTGTCATCAGTGGACACTTTAACTCCTTGGCCTGACTTATTATTGTCAAATTCCTGACATAATTTGCATTTTTAGTTTATCTTTTATGGAATTTACTTTCAAGAGGCATACTCAGTCTGCAATGTTTGTCCTTTACTTCGGTACCATTTGAATTAATGTTATTGGAATTTATCGCAAAAGGCATTAAAGGAACCACCACAATGGTTACGAAACATTTCTCTAACAAATACAATTTTGAATACGATGATTATGTCACTAATTTGGGTCATTTGCGTTTCAGTACGTAGGTTACGCCAGGACGTATGTGCATCCTAAACTAACTCCTGCAGCAGCAGAAGTCTTACAGGTGAAATATTCAATGTCACATGACGGTGGCACAAACTTTTGGTAATTTTTTTTTTGTTTTGTTTTGTTTTTCATTTGCAATTAGACAGTTAAGCCTTAGTTACCTAGATCATGGCAGTGCCACCATTCAAAGGTTTTTTTTGGTAAGCGAGCTATATACATGGGAGAATTTTCTGCCCAATTGGCATATGAAGCCATGGACAGGGAAGAAGAATCGTTTGGTAAAATCTCAGACACCGAGCCATCCTGGTGGACCATGCTTTTATGAAAAAGCCGTAAATTTTTCGGGAGTATTGAGACCTTTGGTCCAAGATTTTGATTTACAAACTGGATTCAGCGACGTCTGTTATAATTGACTGGTGAGTTGTGTGATGTATCAGCTTTCTGAGGGAATTGTCTCAGCGACAAAGCGGAAACGAAAAAGCTTGTATTAAATTTTGTTGATGGTAGCCAAGATTCTATGCATTTGTGGTATATGTGTGTAGTTACGTGCGTAAATATGCAAAATCTTTTGTTTTATTTGTTTTGTTTTTATTTGTACATAAGTTTTTGCTAGAAGCATGTATTAGCCTCGTACGAAGTTCTAAATTCTTTTTGCAGTTAAAGTAATGGTTTTGATCGCAAAGAATTCATGAAACAAGTAATGTTTCACCTTTACATAGAAAGGGATGAACAGTGATCTTCACAGCCAAATCTTAATCGAGGCAGTTGTAGAAGGTAAAGCCTAGAAAGAGATTTAAGGTGGATTCAGCAAATTCGCCATCAGCGAGTGGCTTTGTAGCCTAGCTAAAATCTTTTCGAAGTTTTAATCTTTTTTTCATGTTTTGGGATTCATTTCTCGCTGACTAAGTTGTGTTTCTTCTGTAGAATTTTTATTTGGACTTAAGACAACAGCATCACAGTGCGGATAGTACTCCTATCACTACCAGGCAACTTGAGTCACTCATAAGACTCACTCAGGTATAAACATTAATTTCGCCATAAAGTCTTACTGTTGAATCAAGCATTAAGATAACACGAAAAAAGGATATGATCATCACCATTTATAAAAGTTCTTGATTGTTTAACGATGTCTCCTTGTCAGTACCATTGGAAAATGTTTGTAGATAACAGTGTAGAGAGCATACGTAGAAATATCCGAGAGCTATTTGTTTTTG